TCACAATTAAAATGTACGTGGGCATTATTTTATTTGTGAATGTATTGGTTGCAATAAAACTGCAATACACCGCCACCGTCGCGTCGCGTCGTGCTACGACATCGACAGCCACACGTACACGTAGTATGCAGTTGCATAAATTTGATTGCCGCTGTGATTTGAGTCTGCGTGTCTTTCATTTCTTGACAGATACAACCCCTCGAGTCTGGGGGGACGGGGATTGTTAGTAATGGGAATTAGTAACTTCCATTGCTAGCAATGTGCCATGTTAGGTCGATCTCCCCCTGGAAACCATCGTGATAAATTCTTGGTGAATTTGTCACGATGGGCTAACTGACCTGATGTCATGCTCATCTTATCATCCTCCACTGGTGCCCCGCCAGCGTAAACTGTTAGCGCAGGCGGGTGCACCATTCCATTATCATACAAAAAAAAACCCCTCAAGTCTATGCTTAGTTGAATTAGTGTCGTTTATAGATTAACCTTGACATCTACTTTAGAATTCGGCAGATAATTAGATAGATAGATAAATGCCTTATTGAACAATTACAAACACAGCATACGTGAGGTACGTTTTATAAATAGAAATAAAGTTTGCAAATTAAAAATGGAGGTGGCTTTATGCGTTGCAATTATGAAGAGGCAACCAACTCAGCATGAAGCTACAGATAAGTCTGCAGCGCTGATATTCTGGTGGCTCCTATAACTAAATACATACTGTTTGAAATGTCCCTTCCTTTCCTCTGGGTATCGTTTATTTTTATATTTACAAACTGTGATGTTGCGTTTATTAGAATTGTGTCGAAGTGAAGCCGTTTGTTGCCAACATCACGCCGTTAACTTTATTTGCGCCCAGTCGTCAATAGATTTCGCGAACACATACATATGTACGTGAACATATATTACATACAAAATTCAAAAATCATTTATTCATGTGAATTTTAGCCGCTTATATATATTATAATTTTATTTTTTCAACGTCCAGTTCGGTATAGATCGAGAACTCTTTTTTTTTTTTTCTTTAAAGCCTCAAGAGAGTGTAGCAGTACATGTTATGCTACCGCATATAGACAGCTTTTAGAGACTAAAAATTTCCAAAGATTCACCAATCATAGATAATTAAAAATCCAATTAAATCCACGACAGAAGTATGATGCGTACTCTTTGCTGAGGCACCATTTCTCTTTGATTTTACATTTCCATCTCATTGCTAAATCACTAAAATTGCACAAAGATCATTTTTTTTTATACCACATAGGTGGCAAACAAGCTTACGGCCCATCATGTGGTAAACGTAATGCCCAATTTACACTCAGCCCGAGTGGGCAGTGAAGTGAATACGGAAGTGAGCTGCGCGAGAGTGTAAACACTTCCCATGCCATTGGCGCTGCCACTCGCGCTGCCCGGCGCTCCCTCGATTGTCGGTTTTTCGTGCGCGAGTCAAAGGACTGGCAGCGCGAGTGGCAGCGTGTTTTTACATTCAGCCCTCTCGCTCAGTTGTCGCAATATTTCCAGCAGCGCGAGTGGCAGGGGAATCGGCTGAATGTAAACGTAGCATAAAACCACCAAGCACCAAGGGTGTCACGCGCGTTGCCAACTCTAAGAAACCTTAATATACCCTTCTTGAAAAACCCCATGCTGTAATCTCGTGACAAAACCTCGGCAGGTAGTTCATTCCACAAACATTCAGTAAGTACTCGTTATAGACCTGTTATTACGTTACGATGGTACATGTGGATGCTATTACGGTCAAATCCTGTCTGTTATGTAGGATATTCATGTGCCGTGCTCATCTTAAATTGTAGCTGATCATAGAGCTTCGTGAGACGTATCGATGCTGTTATGAATTGCGTTGGTGGCGGCCATTGTTAGTCGGAATACTTATTCAGGGCTGCAATTTGCGAATGGATTGTCTCCGTTGGTTGAGTTGCGCAAACAATTTGATTAGCGTTACGACAGCACCGCGGCGCGCATCTCACGCGGGCTCAACACATGCCTCCACATCATCGAAAACTGTTTACACGACCTCATTCAGCACAACTGCTTTCTAAAAAGCAAAATCTGTATTAACTTGACGACAATGTTCATAATAAAGAATAGTGTTTACGGTATTATGCGGTGGTATGTCATTAAAAGTATTGGATTTCATTTTTGCGCTATCTACGCATTCTTACCAAGTGTGATTTATTGTCGTTGCACTCACAGGAGAGTTTAGATCGAGACGTGCCACTCTTTCTTTACACATTTTCCATTTCTGTTAGTCATAAATTCATAGAAATAGAAATAATCTTTATTCAAATAAACTCATTACAAGCACTTTTGAATAGTCCTATTTTGATTCTACCACTCATTCGGAACGCAGATTTATCACAAGAAGAATGAGCATGAAACTTGTGTGTTGCTCTTTTGATTAGATGTTTTCTTTCTATAATAATTACAGTATAACAAGTAAGAGGCATGCGATAATCAACATAGAAATCGCTACGCACTCATTACTAAACGAAATAGCTAAAGTAGACAAGTTTAGCCATTGCCACGTCTGTTAATTGTTTAATTCTTCTTACCGCATAAGCGGCAGAACTAAGTCGACTCGCCAATTTAGTAAAATGAGCACCCCATAAACAACCAGCATGTGGATGAGTGTAACGTGCAACTGAATTCGCAAAACTATATTTATAAACTCAAATTGGCCTTACCGTGAATGAAAAAAACATGTTTTCTTAATTCACCGGCGCGGCGCGGACTTTACATTAGTTGCGTGTAATTCAATATGATTATCCCGCGCTGCTCTAGTTTTATTTCACTACTACATGAAATTCTTTGTGAATTTAAATTCAAGCACATGTTCAGCCTTGTTATTTAGTTTAGGAGATTTTCTAGAATTAAACCTGACTATATTTGTAAATACTTGAAGATATTCTAAACACTTGTATTGTCGGCAGGTGTCAATATTCAGTGCCAATTGATAGTCTGCTACCAGATAGTTCCAAGAGGGGGTGATGGGAATTGTTAGTAACTTGAAGAAATTGTGTTAACATAAGAAAGAATTACAATAACAGTGGAAAGAATGTACATGTTTTTGAAGGAATCACTCCACACAAATTTTATAAATTAATTTACTATTTGATAAATATTTGATGTCCCACTATAAACGAGTGGGCGCCAGTCTATACATATAAATAGAATTGGAGTGTCTGTTTGTAATATTGAAATAATCGTTTTTAACTACATGCATATGAATATAAATACGATACACACACCAAAATACCTTTTTTACAATTTTTGTCTGTCTGTCTGTTAGTTCCGGCTAATCTCTGAAATGGCTGGACCGATTTTGACGGGAATTTTTTTGGCAGGTAGCTGATGTAATATGGAGTAACTTAGGCTACTTTTATTTTGGAAAAATAAAGTTAAATTACACGCGGCAAAGTCGCGGGATCGGCTAGTCTCTAATAATAATAATAACTTACTATTAATAATAATACTTAATAATAATGGACAATAAGAATAACAAAGATCGCATCATTCTATAACCGGGCGCATCCTGTACATATGTAGGCATATCTGTTGATTCGCAAAAGACAGCGAGTGTGGGTATATATATGTATGTATGTATATATACACTTGTGCTTATTGTATATTTGCTCTCCAACGTGTAGTATGTGGCGTGTATGACATTATCTTGAGGACACTTACAACTTACACTCACATTCTCTAGATAACTGTTTGTCGGCAATAGATAACAATTTCTTCTCGCGTATATCACTGCGACATCCTCAAAACTCTATAATGGACACCTCCGCAGCAGATTTTATACGCGACGTGTATCAGTCACGTATACTTCAAGTATCGTATTAAGTATTTATGTATCATAAGTATTTATGTATCATTTAAAATACAGTACGTATTAATCGGATTTTCTATACATATAAATAAAATTGGAGTGTCTGTTTGTAATATTGAAATAACAGTTTTTTACTACATGCATATGAATATAAATACGGTACATACACCAAAAGAACAATTTTTTGTCTGTCTGTTTGTTCCGGCTAATCTCTGAAATAGCTGGACCGATTTTCACGGGTTTTTTTTTGTAGGTAGCTGATGTAATAAGGAGTAACTTAGGCTACTTTTATTTTAGTAAAATAAAGTTAAATTCCACGCAGACGAAGTCGCGGTTACAGCTAGTCTACATACAATATAATTAGGAACTTGTAAGTTGCATTATCTGTACTTACATATATCTATATCACGATATAGTATTGATGTAAATAACTTATAAAAGTATTAATGTTGTTTATCAAATGACATATTAATTAGAGACTAGCCGTTCCCGCGACTTCGTCCGCGTGGAATTTAACTTTATTTTACTAAATTATAAATAAAAGTAGCCTAAGTTACTCCTTATTACATTTGCTACCTGCCAATATAAGTCCCGTCAAAATCGGTCCAGCCATTTCAGAGATTAGCCGGAACAGACAGACAGACAAAAATTGTAAAAATGTTATTTTGGTGTATATACTTTAGGTGTATCTAGCGTATCTATATTCGTAGGCATGTGGTAAAAAACGGTTATTTCAATATTACAAACAGACACTCCAATTTTATTTATATGTACAGATATATCATTTACATACCTATGTAGTCACAAACGTTAATCTTCGTTAACAAATACGCAAAACGTTTTCATTTTAGACCAAAGTATTGAAAAGTCTATACATAAATAGTTAGGTAAGCTTGATCTGAATGCGGGTTAGTGTGTATCTCGTGGTCGGGATGGATTACGTGTTCTATAATATATGTAGCCACTATTATTACATCCGTAAATAAACATTAGATACATATATATATATTAAACACAAAGTTGTGTCTCATAGTGATAACCATATTAAATTTTAAACGTAACTTTCCCTCAGAGAGCTAGAGCCGACGGCCGACGAGCGACCATCTCTGAGATGAGAAGGGGATGCGCCGTGAGGGGGTGGGGGTTCGATGCTCACCTTGTTCGTGGAAGCTAGAGCGGGGGTCGGGAGTGCGGCGGCTGGCGAGGCGGGCGAGAGCTCATACTCGCGCGGTCGACGACCTGCTGAGACGCCGGCTAACTGTACACCACACACTGACACCACTGACTGAGACCGACTGTACACGAGCGATCGTGAGGAAATCGCGGGACCGACTGACGGTAGGGCGCCGGAGGGGAGCGCCCGCGCCGCCCGCCGCCTGCGCCTGCGGCCTTGACCGCCCCCCTCCCGACCCTCGCACGGCCGCCGCACCACCCGCCTGCGCCGGCGCATCCGCATGCAGAGCCGATCACCGATCACCGATCAGCGATCAGCCGATCTAGCTCCTCGCTGTCTCCAGCCCGCACAGGGTTGTCATATCAAACCTAACAGCCGGACAGAGCAAAAAAATTTTAGCCTTGACAATTGAGTAAAAAGGCCGGATGACCTTACAGTACTGATAATTTTGTGTATCAGTATCATAGGTATGAAATTAAAAAAAAATGTCTCCATTCATGTAGTATGTACAGACTCTTATACGTCAAATCTACAACAAAAACTGTATGTAAAATCAAGCTTTTTTTTTTATTACCATAAACTCTCGTTAAGTTCTTATAAAAAGCAATTCGCAGAAATAAGTCTTAAACACCTGTTGTTACTTCAAAAAGCGAACAAAATAGAACAAAACATAATTATTCTCTTCAAGTTAAACAATGATAAAAGCCCTACCAAAAGCCGGACACCGTACATTTTGACCGGACAGCCAATCAAAAAGTTAGGCATGCAGTAAGTGCGAACTGCGAACTGATGCGCTGGCGAAAGTCAACACCGTTAGATAATTATTACGTCCCCGCTTTTGTCTGCCGGCCGGGCGGCCGGGCGGCCGGGCGGCCGGGCGGCCGGACGGCCGGGCGGACGCAGACGAAGAGACAACTGAAGCATTGTCTCCAGTGAGCGTGCGAGTGCTTTTATAAAATCACCAAAATAAGTAAGTTTTCATAATTTCGTTTGATGTCACATTAGAGTAAATCTTTACGTGTTTCCCTATATGCTCTCGTTAGCGCCTTTTTGTGAGAAGAGGATCTTGATGGTGTAATGAAAATTGGAGATTCTTGGCTAGTTTTTCAATTAATGAAATTGGTACAATGGTTGCGTATGATATTTGACGACCTCGGTGGTTTAGTTGTTAAGCACACCGCTTTACGACCGATGGTCGCGGGTTCGATTCCTCGCACGGCACAAACATTTGTATTCATGAGTATGATTGTTTGTATCGGTCTGAGTGTTTTCTATGTATAATATGTATGTATTTACAAAAAAAAATATCTATGTATATGTATCAGTTATCTAGTACCCATAACACAAGCTCTAGCTAGCTTAACTTGGGTCTAGATGGCTCTGTGTGAATTGTCCTGAGATTATTATATTATTATTATTATTATATAATGCGTATACGATAGTAAGGTGAATTCGAATCTGAACTGTATAACGGATAGCGATCGTCTCGGCCCGACGTGTTGCAGTATCAAAAATACAATTTGGGCCACACATTACTACAACCTTCCCTTTTTAGTCTAGTCTAGTAATGTATGCGAGTTGTAAATAGTTATGAAGGTAATCTTCATGAATGCACTCTATCTGGAGAAACTAAATAAATACATAAAAACCCTGGACAATTGACAGCGCCATCCAGCCCCACGGTAAGCAGAGCTTATGTTATGGGTACTAGACAACTTATATGAATACTTACATTTTTTTTTGTAGATACTTACATAACATACATAGAAAACACCCAGACTGATACAAACAGTCATACCAATGAATGTTGTGTTCAAATGTTTGCACCTTGCAAGGAATCGAACCCGCGACCATCAGAAGTAAAGTGCTTACCCGCTAGACCACTGAGGCCGTTGAAAAAGCCGTTACATTATTAGGAATGTCAGTTAGAGATAACCTGGAAACTCGAGTTGCATTGTTCACGTTACTGCAGAGACGTGAGTGCAGCTACCGCATTGTACTTTCATGCCAACGACATCACATGGCCAGAAATTGCGTGTCCCAGGTGTGTGGTGTTTTTGTGGTAATCCTCAGGTAATAGCCCAATCAGGTGGTGGCTCGACCGTGACTAATAGGATGCGGCGACGGTCACTGTTCACCACTCACCACCGATACATGTGCATTATCATATAATAATGTTCACTACACATACATATATAATAGGGTTGCCAAGCAAAAATTTGTATTCATGAGTATGATTGTTTGTATCTGTCTGGAATGGATGTTTTCTATATATAATATGTATGTATTTACGAAAAAAAACATCTATGTATTTGTATCAGTTATCTAGTAGTCATAACACAAGCTTTAGCTAGCTTAACTTGGGTCTAGATGGTGCTGTGTGATTTGTCCTGAGATTATTATTATTTCATCTTTAAAAAATCAGCATAAGAGGTATATCTTAGACCTCCGGAATTGGCATGAGTAGTATAAAAAAAACATTATTAGATATGACACTTAATTTCCGGAATGACGATGCTATAGTATAGTGTTGCCAAGACTAAATTTAAAAAACCACGATTGATAGTTAAAAAAACCCAGGACTATCCAGTTTAAAACCAGAGCGCAGTAATAGTGCTGCAACAGTTATATTAATATGTAGTAAATATCAAGTAATTAATATAATCAGTTATTGTACAGTAATAACAAGTATTTGATACAATTGTACTGTTGACAATCAGTCATTAAGAGGCGCGCATACTTTATAATCCCAGGACAGTACCAAATAACTATTCAGGACTTACCAGGACACTTCAAACACTAGGACATGTCCCGGGAATACAGGACGGTTGGCAACTCTAAAAATTTTGATTAGTTTACAGGGATTAATTCTTCACAGCATCACCAACGATCAGCATCGAATCTCCCCACAATACCTTTTTTCCCTACCAGCCGCTATTGCCAGACAGACAAATCTTCTGCTTAGGAGGGTTCCTAGGGGGATGATGTAAAATTCAAATTCAAATTCAAAATCATTTGTTCATGTATAACATTTTAGCCGCTTATGAACGTCAAAATTTTACATTATAATTTTATTTTTTCCCTACCGTCCAGTTCGGTATATAGTCCAATTGAGAAGAACTGGCAAGAAACTCAATTGAATGACTTTTTTTTGTAAAGTTTATTTACAATGTACATTTATATAGGATATATACATATAGATGATTACATACAGAAGGAATTTGTCCGACATGTTTATCCTAGATGGCACACAATATTTAAATGCTACAATAAAATATTAAATTTAAATGTTAAACAATAATATATGACATAATAATACAAAAACTACAACTTAAGTATATGTACTACTAAGTTATTAGGGTCAAATATAAATATACGTTAAGATTAAATCAGTCGTAGTGATAATAGCAAACCAATCCCTACAAGCAGCACTCGTTCTCGAGTATGACGGATGAGCCAGCCATCACTGCGCTCGACCATATTTTAGGGAGTCCAATGATCGAAACTTGAAGCAAACACACCCTCGGTTCTTATATATATAATATTATCCATTTTGTTTAATTCCTACCTGTACTGGGGGGAGGTGATTGTTAGTAATGTGGACTAATGACCCCATTGCTAGCAATGTACCATGTCAGGTTAACTTCCACGATTTCCCCTGGACACCATCGTGATAAGTTCTTGGCGAATTTACCACGATGTGCTAACTGACCTGACCTCATGCTCATCTTATCATCCTCCACTGGTGCCCCGCCAGAGTAAACCGTTAGCGCAGGCGGGTGCACCATTCCATTATCATCCACAAAAAAAATTATAACTCTACCTGTACTGGTGCCCGTGTAGTAGCATCAGGGATATTACGGAGCTCCGTAACCGTAACCGAAACTATCGGATATCCGATATAAAAAAATATCCGTAACCGTAATCGAATCCGCAATAAAAGTTTCTGACAATATCGGATAGTGGCGGAGCCTAATCGAGACACGTTATGTAACCATTTAATTAGCTATTTGTATTTTACTTTTGAAATTCCTTAAAAAATTAAAAAATTATTTGAAACTAACGGTTAATCCGAAATAATTTAATATCTATTTCCGTTGTAATAATCATTACTATATCCGAAAACTATCCGTAATGATAATGTGTTTGTAATATAGAACTATATAGATTATAATAGTTTAGTATCGTACTGATTACAATGATAACGGGACTAGTCCATTATTATCCGCGTTATCTTGTAATCACTACAATAGTATTAGTGCAAGAAACATTTGATTTAAACTATCATGTCACCTTGTTTTGGCACAATATATAAAAATATACATATAAATAAAATTGTAGTGTCTGTTTGTAATATTGAAATAACCGTTTTGTACTACATGCATATGAATATAAATACGGTACATACACCAAAATAATTTTTTTTACAATTTTTGTCTATCTGTCTGTTTATTCCGGCTAAAATAAATAAATTTGGTTTAAGTTAATATACCCCTATTTTTCAATAACACTCGATAACGATAAGAAATATGACAAAATGTTTAAAATAAAAGTTGTAGAGGGAGACGATCTGCACAAAACAGGTCCTTTTCAGTTTTTCATTATCTGGTGTTGTTTAGCCACAAAATTAAAAAAACTAATTAACTAAAACTAACAGCTGAACGATATATAAAAGGGGAAACATATTATGTTATCTGTGCTATTAGTGCTTGTAAGTGTGACGCGCGCGCTGCGTTATACACGACTTTTGTTACTTCTTACTGTTTACTAGTTTTTTCAGTTGACTACGAGTCATATTAGTTTTTCATTTTGTGGCTAAACATGTGAATTTGCCGGTGAAATAACTCTACTTGCCTTACTCTGTCTCTACATATGACATTGATCTTATATTGTTTTCATATCTCGAATATGTTAACAGTCGACTAAGGGATACAGGTCGCTTCTGTGTAGGCGAATCTTGAACTACTATAGTCTGTTTTTTAATCCCAAAGACAAATTTGACGTATCGGATGATGCCAGGTCGCCATTTCATAAATAGGATTGTGGCGCTATCGGAAAATAATATTGATTACCCATTTTTATAGCTTATTCAGAAATACGAGTACGGGTAATGTATGAGTGTTTATATAAAACGAATTAACTCAAAATTAATAAAGCATAGGTATTAATAATTTTTATTTTT